GCGATGGGTGCACTCCCCATTCGGGACGCTTCATAGGTTGGTTGGAGGTTTGGGGGCAGCGGGGAGGATGGAAGTCAGAAGTCCCCAATAATATATTAAGGAGCCCAACGCCTGTGCCGGTCTTTGCCTCCAAGCCAGCCGAGTTATTTTCTAGAGCCTCCTTCACAGGTGCCTGGTTTCAGCTGGGTTAGTCAAAGGGAAAGAAGCTTCCAGCCCCAGAGGGAGGATACACAAAATGAGAGGTGATCCCTCTGGCCGCTTCCTCAAAAGAAAAATCTTCCTCTGCACCAAGGGTATTCCCTGGCATGAAGTAGGGTAATGAGTGGAAGAACGGTATCTGAAACATCCCCCTTCCGACTCGGAGCCTTCGGCTGGGCACTTGCTGGCATTGGGAGGGCAAAGCTCTGCTGGAAGCGATGCTCAGAGGACACCGTGCTTAGACCAGCTTGCTTTAACCCAGATCTGTCTGTATGTGGCATCCATGATGTAAACACAGACTCCCAAAGCAGCAGCAACTTTAAGAAATGGGTTTCAAAAGCTTTCTGCAGATGTATGTTCTGAAGTTCCTAAAAGAAAGCGAAATATATCCTGCCAAAGCAGATATAATCAGTTAGTGAAAACTCCCGGGAGCCAAAATTAATATTCGATTACATAGTTGTAAGTCCAGTGGAAAGGACTCACCCATCCTAAACCGAAGCAATGCTGCTCATGCCATAGTTGCTTTTCTTTGCAGAGTGCATTTTTCTGAAAAGGGGGCATAGAGATGGAGGGGGTAAGACAAAATGAATATTCATTGCCTTCTCTCTGACCTACGAGAGCTTTCTGGAGAAACGCAATGTATTAAAGCTCTGCAGCATTCATCCATTATGGAAAACCATGGGGTGGCAGCAGCTGCCAAAGCACTAGACAAAGTGTATCATCACAGAATACCAGGACTTCCCTCTGAACTGTCACTGTCCCGCGACTGTGCTCGAGTTACAAGACAAGCACTCCCCTCCACAAAAAAAAAAAAAAAAAAAAAAACCAAACCAAAACAACTAAACCAAACACAAACCTCCCCCCCCCCCCCAAAAAAAAAAACCCCATAACCCACCCAACAAGCTAAGAAACCTAAGACACCTGAGACTAACAAGGGTGGCATCTCATAAACAAAACCTTTACAGCCATACCCCGTAGTGCCCATGCCATGAAAAGGGCATGTATTATGCAATATCTGTTTATGTTTTGGACTTCGTAAGCACACAGGGTTGGTTTTTTTTATTGCATGGGGAAGAATACTCCACAGAAATAATTTTTTTCCAATCAGTAAGAAAAAGAATAGCCTCTTGCAGAATATAATAGTCCTTCAGTCATGTCAAAATGTCCATATTCTACAACATGTCTGTTACTAAATATAATGCTATTAATTTCTCTGTGTGTCACTCTTCCTTGTATTTTCAACATGTGGCAGGCTTCTCAATAAAGGATGGAATTATATTAGACATGGACTTTCCAGAGCCGACATTTTCTTGAATGACAATATTCTACACAGGCAACTGTAGTAACATTTATGAAATAATTTCCCTCCTACAAGAGACTGACCTGAATTTTTGCACTCCTCAGTGCTTCCAGTAAAAGTGGAAGCATATATAAGAGAGAGATATGTGCCTTTTGAGTGAGTATTACCATGAACTATATCTGCAAATGGAAAAAAACCCCAAACTATTTATGTATACTTTCAAACACATTCATGTAAAAGTTAAGTGGAAACATTTCTGTAGCTCAGGATTTGGAACTTTCTTTGAGGAACTGAGTGACACTGAGCAATACACAACCAATTTCCCCCACTGGATAGGTATTACAAAAGGAAAGGTCCCATGTTTTTGTTTTAACCAACAAAGCAATAAAATTAGATGTGAAGACCGCCATGAGAAACCCAAGCCAAATGAGCATTTTACTTACTAGCAGCAAGCATTCTTCTTGCAAGCTTGAGTACTGCAATGCAAAGTCATTGGGTTACCAGCTGTGTAACACTAGAAGAGTAAATGGAAGAAAGGACTCACAGAAAAGAAAACCAAACTTGAGGACAAATGCAGCATACCCCCATGACAGTCATGCTCTGAATCACCTTCTGGAGGAGCTCTGTCCCTGTTGACTGGAGGATCCCGGGGATGGTTAACCTGCCCAGCTACCACCTGTCTTCCTGAGGAGGAGATGAGAGGCAGAAGCCACCAAGTTTTTCTAGTGCAGGTCACCATCTCATATTTTTCATATGGTGTTGTAATTGGGAAACAAACAAAAAATCAATTTTATAATGGAAAATTATAATTGAAGACAGTGCAATGCAGCCAAAATATGATCAATTTATATCAGTTTAGTTGATGATTAAGTAAATGAAGTAATTATTTTAAATATCCACTGTCATTAACATTTTATTAAGCTTCTACTTGTTTCATGTACTTTTCTGTTCTCCCTTATTATTTATAATCATCTCTACTATTTACAATTACACGTACTAATTCATTACAGATCTTGCAGAACATGACAGCCACATTATACTGAAGTACATTGATGATAAGCCAGAATCCTACTCTGAAATTGCAAAAAAAGAATTAGCAGATTAAGTAAATGCCTGTGAAGAAATACAACTGTAAGGAGCCATGGTGTAGTTAAATTGGACAAGGCTGGAAACAAAGCCAGCAGAAACTTGTCATTATTTTCAAATTCCAAGGCACGATTGCATTTTTAATTAACACAGTTGAAATATAAGCTTGATTTGATCAATAACACAGAACTGGTGAAAAAAGCTCTTACTGTAGAAAAATATAAATAAAACTAAAATTGGACGAGACAGATGGACAAAATTTGAAAGCTGTCGTGAAATCAATCCAGTCCCACTGTAGCAGGCAGGAGTCCCCTGCATCAGGTGCCGCATACACGCAGGTGTGCTTCAGCTGCCTTCCTCCACCCCAGGTCTTCCGTTCTTTGAGAAATTTCTGGGGAATGTGATACCTTGCATTGAAAAAAAAAATTAAAAACTGGAAAAGTTCCTTGTATGTTATATTTATCAAGGGAAGAAAAACCAGGGAACCCACGACTGGGGCCTCCTGAGAAGACACATGACGCAGGGGAAAGAACCGGTGAGCACTAATTGCATTGCCTAATTAGTAATCGACAGCACAACCCATGCTACATGGTTAAGTCATTGCCTTCCTCGGCAGTGGGGAAGGGGTGGTAAAGTGTACAGTTCTACGTACATTAACATAGGCTTTGACTTTCTCTTTTCAAAAGGAAGGGGTGTTGGGAAGGGGAGCATGAAGTGACATCACTGTAGAGCTGGGACTGGCCCGTTTTACCTTGTGGTAACTCCAAGCTGCAGCCCTGTGTCACGCACAGCTCCTGTCTCAGGTCTGAGCCCAACAGTTGCGCTTTCCCTCGGAAATCCTCATGTTTCCTTCTGCTGTCAGTTGACACCCTGGAGCAGACCAACCTGGATGTTCTTGTCATCTTCTTGATTCTCCAGTCCTCCCACAGGTGCACAAAAGATTTCAAAGCAACATCCCTCTTCACAAGCTTCTGATATCACAAGCTATACCATTTCTTTGACCTTTCCTTTCAGGCAGTTCCAGCACAGAATCTGCCAATTCTTTTTTGGGGGGCTGAGGTGGAGCTGGGCTCCTTTCATGGGGTGCCCCTCAGGTTGCCCCCCACAGAGGAAGTCAAGCCTGCCCCGTTCCATGTCCCAGCTCCCTCTAGAGACATCTTTGCCATATCTTTTCTGCTCCTCTCCTGAATGCCTTCCACCTTTCCCAGTTTTCCAAAGCTCTCAGCACTGGCACATGCAAGTTCAGCAACCTGCTTTTTGCATTGCCTCTGTGGCAAAACACGTTTGTTCAAATGTGATCATATTGACTAAGCATATTGGGTGCGAACAGCAAGGTTTGGGCAGCAGGACTGTAGGGAGGTGACTATGAGATGGCTGGTGCCGGTCCCATCCATTTCCATCTGGCTCTGCCCCGCTGTGAGCAGTCCTCTGCCCTCTAGAGCCTCAGCCAGCCAGGAGCCCCGATGCTTTCCTCCTGCGTGGTGAAAACAAATAAAGTAAGTGAAAATTCCCCAACTCAGAACTGGTTTGCCCACGATGATACAAGAATATACTCATAATGCAAGGGGAGCCATTCCAATCAATCCCCTCCTCCAACCAACCTCATAAACTCCCAGACTCAAAGAACCTGCCTTCATGGGGGGCAAACCCTTAGAAACCATCACTCTCCACTTTCAATTCTCCTGTTCTTCTAAATCAGGAGTGGATCCCACACGCCCTTTTGCCCAAACGTCAACCACCCCACGATCTTCTCCTAGCCACTGCTTTTTGCATTCGTGACCCCAGGGTGCCATGTGGCAATTACTAATGCCAGAGGTATCAGCAATGCAAGATGGTGGAAAAAAAGGATTACTCACCTGTTCCTGCGGTAATTCAAGTAGCTTTGTCAGTGCTGATTCACATTTGTGGGATGCACATTTTCTCGAGAGATACAGCATATTACATTCTGCTTATAAAAGGAGGCATCGCCTCAGGCTCTGTCCATACTTACATTTTACTGCCCCACGCTGAAATAGTTGGAATCAATTTTTGATCTATCCTGAAAATTTGCTTCAATTCCAGTTAAAGGCCAGTGATGTGTCTTTCTCATTCATAACTCTCCAGCACATGATGCCATTTCAGAGGGACTGTCACCTGCCAGCAAGA